GGCAATCGCTATTTTCTAAACGCAATTTTTGATTCATTAATCATGATTAGAAAATCCAATTAGAGAGGGGGGTTTTAAAAGTTTGGGGGGACATATGAAGAGAAAATATATGTTTGGGTGGGTTAAAAAAGAACTTAATAGTTTAGGGGGGAATAAGTAGGGTTTATGTGTTTAGAGGGGGGAATATGCAGCCAACCCTATATAGAATGATAGAGATTTGTAAAATAATTAGGGATTGAAGAGAAAAAAAAAGGTCAAAAAATTGAGGATTCAAAGCCACTTATGAAAAAATAATGAAATTTAAAATTTAATTGTATATAAAATGATAGTGATTTGTAAAATAATTAGGGATTGAAGAGAAAAAAAAGGGGAAAACGTCAAAGAGAGGAGAGAGAGTGTAGAGAGGGCAAAATCGTCCGATGAAAAGCATCAATCAAATCATGGATATTTTGCTAATTATAGGTGTCAAATAGGGCATTTTAGCCAATTATCTCTATCATAAATGAATGACCTATTATAGCTGTGGCAGAAATAGCGGTTTAAAAAAAGTTATGCAAGGTATATAATCGCTATTTTTCACAGTTAAGAATATAAGTTTTTAAGTCATTAGTCAAAAAAAAAGAATATAAGTTTTTTTGTAGTGATTTAACAAATAGTATCCAAAAAAAAAAAAAAAAAAACAAATAGTATCCCAGAGGCTAGTTCGTTTCATCTAACATTATATCCTACCAACACAAATATGTAAGAACTGCAACCACTAATGATCAAGTTAACATCTTTCATGATAAATGTGAAAGTTAACGATAATTTATAGTGCAACAGATAACGTAAATAGATAATAAATGTGTTGTTGAAAAGTTAAAAAGAAGAAACGAGTAACTGGAAAAATATATATCTGCTAACTTACATCTGAACAGAAACCTAGAATTATACTACAAAAATCACGTCTATTTATCCTAGCTTATGTGTCTTGGGGTTAATGAGGAGACAAGTAGCTACAGTGGATGGGGTTTCTTTTTGATTTTGGATCGATTCCTAATTTCTGGTCTATTTATGTATATTAAGAATAATATAAAATTTTCATATTAATATACTTTAAAACTAATCAATGCATTAATGAAACCAATATAGCTATAAGATTATGAATGTCACATCATAAATAATGGATCTTTAAGTTGTATTTATTTCATATCTAATCCATTTGATATAAAGTTAGCTATACATATACTCTGTAATTAATTTACTATACTCTACTTCTTGTATCAATAAAATTCATCTCTTTGAGTTTATAAAGATATACTAAAAAAATTATTTCCAAAGATCTGGATTTATGACTTAATATACTATATAAAATAAGGTAAATAGAAATTAATTATATATTTATTCCGGTTTAAAATCGAACTTCTTTTTCCCCGGTAATAACAATACCCTTTGGCACTGCCATAGACACTCAACTTATTTTCCCCGGTGATAACCATACACTTTGGCACTACCATACACACTCTTAACATTTTGGACTACTAAATCTTGACGAATTAATGATATGCGTGACATCAATGGGAATGGAACAATACAATGACTTCACGCTATCTGTATCTACATGGGACACTTGACACTTCAACACGAGAAATATTTTGAATCTAATCCTTAAAGCCACGTTTTCTAGTAGTAGCCGAAAATACTAAAAATGGAAACAAAAGCCCCAAAAGCAAAAAAATAATAATAAATTAACGCCTTTATTAAAAAAATAAATAAATCAAAGACCCCTACCTTTTCAAAAGAGTACAAGCAACACCAAACCCAGTTTTACGTAGAAGCAATCTCTCTCAGCCTATAAACTCCCGACTCTCGAGAAACAATACTTTCATCAAATCGTATTCAAAAACAACCAACAACTAAGTTTACCTGAAGTCTGAAGAGTATCAAAATGTCGACAACATTCAAATCGATAAGAGACCGGACATATTCCAGCGTAGGAGACCTCATCAGGCTCCTCCCGACAGGAACCGTCTTCTTGTTCCAGTTCTTGAACCCTGTCTTAACCAACAATGGACATTGCCACCTAATCAACAAATACTTAACCGGGGCTCTTATCGTTATCTGCGCCTTCTCTTGCTGCTTCACTTGCTTCACCGATAGCTACCGTACAAGGGATGGCTACGTTCACTATGGAGTCGCCACTATGAAGGGTCTCTGGCCAGATTCATCTTCGAAAGATTTGTCTTCGTATCGGCTAAGAGTTGGAGATTTCGTTCACGCTTTCTTCACTCTCATTGTTTTTGGTGTTATTTCCTTGTTGGATGCTAATACTGTTAACTGTTTCTATCCTGGCTTTGGTTCCACCGGGAAGATTTTTCTTATGGTTTTGCCTCCGGTGATTGGAGTTATATCCGGTGTTGTCTTCACGGTGTTCCCTAGTAGACGTCACGGAATTGGGAATCCCTCAGAGAACAATCATGACGACAATGCTTCCGAGATGGAGAAGTGATGAATTTCACTATATATATGTGCATAATAAAATGAAATGGCAAGTATTAAGATTGTGTAAGGTATTCATGAATGTTCACTGTAATGTTTTTTTATTTATTGTATTTTATTGTGATTTACTATTTATGTTTGGTGAGTGCTGAATTACTGATGTTCTTTGTGTGTTTAATGATTGACTCAAAAGTAATAACATATCTTATTATTAATGTTTTACTCTTTATTCTATTAGTGAGCAAGCATTATTTAATTAACAGATGTTTAGGATTTAGAAGACAGGCATGCGCATCCACACAATTCTAAGCATCCTTATATTTTAAAAGAAGTTAGTATAGGAAAAAAAATTGTGGATGAAAAGCATATATCTATAGGAATGGTAATGGAGTAGAAATACGATAGAGTGAAAGATAATATTTTGAAAATTTAATCTCCTTTAAGTCATCATTCTAATTTTATATATCTATTTTAAGGAAATGATTATCAAAATTAATCAGTTGATTTATATGAAACATGGATGATGGATGTCGTGAACCTTTTTCTAATTATTATTTTTTGAACACCAATGTCGTGAACTAAAAAGCTAGTCTAACAGAAAGACCTTTTAACCGTTTCGTTCTTAGCATCAATAATTAATACGACCGAAAAAACATTGTTTTTGTGTTCTAGAACAAGCTTATTATATTGTTCATAATGTTTCACAGCTGGCAGAAAAATAAGCTCTTCACTAATAGTGGCAGTAGCTAGGGAGACATTCGTGAATTCAGGTAATCCATGATGTCAAATTGATGAAATTTAACATTCAGTTAGAGAAAAAACAAAATTGATAAAATAATTAGGGTTTAATTTAGCTCCAGTATTGCCGACTACTGAGGGAAAAAAATGAAGAAAGTTTCCAAATTTTTATGTTAAAGCCTATAGGAAAAAGTCTTCATGAGTAACTCAAACTTCAACAATTAGGTGCTTCATAAATTATCCAAAACTTGCAAGTTTATATACTAAAAAAGGTCACCAAATCAATATACACCTATGACAAAAAATTGCTTTGCAAGACGTAAAAGCAGAGGAAGAGAAACTTATGAAACCATCATCGGATTTTTCTTCCGCCTTAGGTATGACGTACGTGTTTGCAGAAAGTTTGGAGCCTAAGTATGGGAATGTTATACTGTATTAATGCCCCCCATAAAGAAATAGAGAGTTCAGAGAATTCCCGATGCAGATGACTTCAGGTGATATTAAATCTTTTTGCTTATCTAACTGAAACTACAATTTTATAACAACTCGAATAACATTTTACCAAAAAAACTAAGAGCATGTGCATCCCTAGCACCCCACTAGGGGTGCTTAATTTTTTTTGTTTTTTGTTTTTTTTTTGTTTTTTGGAATTAAAAAAAAAAGGACCAATTGCGGGCCGCCACGTGTCGTGGGGCCCGCAAAAAAGGCTAAGCACCAAACTCAAAAAACGCTTACACGGGAGATTTTGGCGTCGATTTTATTTTTTCTGTGGTCCCCCCACCCCACTTTTTCTCCTAAACACCCCCTTTTTCTATGGGATGCACATGCTCTAAGTATATTGATTAACTGTAAGGTCATGAAACTACATATTGTAAAGATTGTCATTGTGTAGAGCTAGTTTGTACATATATATTTCCCAAATCTAAAGTTATGCTCCAAGTTTGAATATATTCGAATTACATATAGATTATAGAAGGCAAAGAAGGTGCAATTTCTTTGTTCTTTGTTTATATGATAACATTTTATTCATACTATAAGGTGTCATACAAATTACAATATACAGTGGTTGTTACAAAGAGCCAAATAAATGTTTTAAGCATACAATCGTTTTCTTTAGTTTATGTTCTACAACAAATCTTAACCAAGATCACAACAATTTAGAAACAGCATAAGCAACACGTCTCATGCAGCACCAGAATCCTTCTTAGTCTCCTCCTCCTCCTCACCAGCTGGAGCGTACCCGATTCCATTCCGCTTGCTCGGAAATATAGCGAAGATAGCGGCCGAGGCAACGCCTACAGCTGGAGGCAAAGCCATGACCAAAGTCTTCTGCGTTTCTCTAAACCGTGGATAAAAGCAGCTTGCTGTATTAGCGTCAAGCAACACCAGTGTTCCAAACACAGCCACCACGAAAACCGCGTGAACAAAATCCGCAATCCTAAGCTTGTACTTAGACAAATCCACGGATCCTGGATCCGCGTAAGTCCAAAGACCCTTCTTAGTAACTATACCATACTTTCTTGAACCATCGGTGCTTTTGAAACTATCGGTGAAACATGAAAACACACATGAGAAGCTGCAAAGAGCGACGAGAATGCTTGACATGATCTTATTGGCTGTGGAGCATTCGTCGTCGTTTGTGAGGACAGGGTTGAGTAATAGGTAGATGAAGAGTGTTCCTGTTGGGAGAAGCTTTATGAGACTCTCGAGTCCGGTGAGGGATTTGTTTGCCATTGGTTTTGATGAATCTGGTGAGTTATTTTTGGGAATTAGCAAAGAAGAAGCTTCGGACATGGGCTTGAACTTTGAGTTAGATGTAGGAAAATATAATGAAATGTGTTCTTGGTTTAATGCGTATTTATAGTCCAAGAACTAGAGATGATAACCATTGATCCGGTCCGAGATCTTGGGTTTAGGACGTAGAAAAAAACTAGTAACGAACTTGACCAAGTCAAATAATTAGGTTTGCATATAATCTTTTTTTTTTGGTCAACAGGTTTGCATATAAGTCTACACACGAAGATGCAATAATGCTGAAAGAGTTGATTGTTATTTCCCTAAAAAGTAAAGCAGAGACAAAAGTAATTAAATTTTGGACCTAAAGGAGAAGAAGTTTTCAAGGTTGAAGCACGTATGGTATTGACTAAATCCAAATAGAAGTTTCTTTGTGTTCGAAAAGTTTGTAAGAGTATCGGGTTATAGCTCGACTTAACACGGTTAGCGAAAAGTCATCATGTGATGAACAACGAAATTATTTTCAATTAAGATGCATCACTTTAGCTTTCTGCTATCAAACACGTACAATTCATAAACGTGAAACGCAAATGTACATGAGCTAGATTAGGTTTTTGCGTTTGCATCCACATTTTGTATGCGTGTTAAATTACGTGTATAAAAATATGGAACTACTTACTAGTTACTACACGTGAGAAGTATTTTTTCAGAAGTATATATTTACAAAAATTGTAATTGCATTCGTAAGAAACAGTAATTAATGCGTTTAAGTTTGCGTTAACAATTTGCAAATGATAT